AAAGTAAATATTGAATGAGAGATCTTGCAATAAAGTATCAAAAAGGTGTAAGAACGGTCTTGTAAGGAAGCTCCTATGGCTGAATGAGGTTAAACCATTAGCAAAATATCAAGCGATAGGCGCAACCAAGATACACTGATATTATTTATTCATTTATTTATAAAATATTTTACCAGGATGGATACATTGAGATTCCTTATTAAAAGATATATATGTATAAAAGAGGGCTTTATTGAGAGTGGCACAAAAATGTATTATCAGGAAATATCAGTGTTTTGGTAATGGCTCCTAAAATAAAGGTAACATACCATATAACCAGTTGATCTTTACTGAGAGGGTAGTGGGTGCATGGAATAGCCTTCCAACTGAAGTGGTAGAGGTTAACACAGTAAAGGAGTTTAAGCATGCGTGGGATAGGCATAAGGCTATCCTAACTATAAGATAAGGCCAGGGACTAATGAAAGTATTTAGAAAATTGGGCAGACTAGATGGGCCGAATGGTTCTTATCTGCCATCACATTCTATGTTTCTATGTTTCTATGATTATAGAAGTATGAGGAGAAATAGGAAATTCTATTGCCTATCAATACAAGGCAAGGATTAAACTATAACAGCCTTTCTCCCTTCGAAACTAAACAGGCAGAGGAGAAAAGTAACAAGAAACAAGCTTAACAGCTTGGGCTGTTACGTTCGATTTTTTGGGGGCACTTCACCTTTTGTTTATTACCTTGTTTGGTACCATGTTGATTTGATTATTTTTATTTTCTTGTTTCTCTTCTCCTCTGCCTGTTTAGTTTTGAAGGGAGAGAGGCTGTTTTAGTTTAATCCTTGCCTTGTATTGATAGGCAATAGAATTTCCTCTTTCTCCTCATACTTCTATCATCAACTGGTTATATGGTATGTCCGTTCTTACACCTTTTTGATACTTTATTGCAAGATCTCTCATTCAGTATTTACTTTGTTACAGATCTAGAATTTTAATATAATTGTAATTAAGAACTGTTACTAGTATCTCCAGGTTGTACATTGGTTTCACTTTAGATGAACCATTGTACCTTTTCTTCATCATTTTCTCTTATGTAAAAGTACACTTTAAGTTATAACAATAAAACACAAGAATTAATCATATTAATAAATATCCTAAATAGGACATTCAGGAACAGACACGAATAGTCAGGGTGAGGTACTTTTGTAAGACATCAAATAAAATGCCTGAGAACATCTGAGTACTCATTTGGAATGTCTCCATCAATTCAATATATTTAAAAAACACAGCACAAGAATTTGATGATTAGCTGCAGAAAACAGCAGTGATTTTGTTGCTTATTGAATTTTAAAACGACTGAAAAAAAAAGTTGAAGTAGATTTATAGTTATATACAGTTGTTGTTCACTGCTACAAAAAGTTGAGTGATGCATACAAATAGCACTAATTAATTTTTCAAGAGGACGCCAACACTTCATGCATACTGAGTCCTACAACACTGGAATGAAATCGGTTTCGCTGTTGTTATTCTGGGAGCAAATGGCGGTACTGGTACTGCAATGAATTATAATGGGAATAAAAGGTGGATGTAAACAGAGTTTAATCATACTTTGCTATGTCTACATCTGATTTACTGGGAATAAAAATGAATCTTTGCATTGCCTTGATGAAGTGCAATGTACAATATTTGTATTTTTTTTTAAATCCTCATCATCATGTCATTTAACTTTTTTGTAAACTATTGGCAAAATGTACTTAAAAACAAATACAAAGATGTTTTATTTAAAGAATACTCTGGAGACTAAAAAGAAAACTCATACACTGCCTGCTTGGGGCTCTTTGGTAGAAATCCATAGCTTAATGATTTTGCTGTAAAATATTTGTGTAGAGACTTTTGGTGTTATTTAAGGTCAGTACACTTTGTGCATGATCGAGGCAGTCAGTGGAACTTAGAAAAGTCTATTTTACAAATATTTAATACAAATTACAAAGAAACAAAGTTAAAATACAAATTGAAGTCACAAAGACAGAAACATCTATTTTATTGGTTACCACATCCAGTTGACCATGCAATCACCAAAAAGGTGAGCAGGACATGGAGGTGATTAGTCAAGCAATCAGGACGTTTACTAATTATCATTCCTCCCTTCTCAACTCAGAAAGATGACTTCAAAAGCAATAGAACCTAAAGTAAAGATAAGGGTTTAATTTACATGTTCTACTTACTAGAATGGTGTCCTGATAGAAATAGGTCCTTCTAAGTAAACTAAAATGAAAAATACACCAAGCTTTTATGCCACACTCATACCAATATCTTGGTGATGGCGCTAAAGTAACAAACCAAGAGAAAAAAAAAGGATAATAGTATTCAATTAAAAATCTCACAAAATTAATTATTATACTCTCGGTCTAAGTTGAGTATATGTAATATATAGTGCATTTTCTGTTCCACTTGAATTAGCCGCTGTCCATTCCATGAAGCCAAACTATAGGTAAACTTAAAACATGACTTTTAGATACACAGGGCCTTCTAAGTTTTTTGAATTTCCTCTCCAGCCTGGCTCTTTCCTAAAATTATGAATCCATTTTCTACACTGTTAGATGACCCCACCAGAAGATCCATAGTCTTCTACATCTGTGGCATCCTGAATCCTACTTTAGCTCTGTGTTGGACCATCCTATATATAATGCAAGTCTTGCCAACAAGGACTTTGGTCAAGTGAAAAATATATATTTGAAAAAGGAAAAAAAGGGAAGCGTTTACAAATGTCTATATTTGATGTTTTGCTTTTTATTTTTTATTAATTTTTTTGCTTGTGAATTTCAATTATCTGCTTTTATAGTAAACTCTATTAATCATCTGCTTGTTCCTTTCTTATCCATGAGCGTGCTGTAAAGAACTCGGACTCCTTTGGGGATAAAAGCAGTTTGTAAAAACAGACTAATATTCTGACTGATATTATTGTTAGCTTAATTTATAAATTGATGGGTTTCTGTCTTGTTTAACAGGTAACAGAGCAAGTTCATGATAGATGTAGATTCAACTTGTCATCTTTTTATTAATAAGTAAATACATCTTCTAACCTATTCTATTGAAGTCCAAGGTCTATTCTACAGATACAGATTAATTCTGATTGTATTGCCCTATTCCTGAAACATCTGCTGCCTGCCCTCATTATATTTAATTATCTAGCCCAACAATTGTCATTTTTAATTCATTATTCAATTTCTTATGCTGTTTGATGAGGTTTAATTTGAACTAAATAAAACCTTATTTGTATTTACTAAGTCCATTATCATGCTGAGACAATTAGCACTTTGATTGCTTGTGAACTTATTGTCCTGTGAGATACAATTTTTTTTGGGTAAACCTATCAACATAAATAACGCTACATTGTGTGATTATTATGTCAACTGGCAGTGGGAGCTGTTTAAAATGTTTGTTCTTTGTTTGTCATGTTTTAGTAATGACAAAATGGGCAGAGTTTTTAAAAAAAAATCAACTGCATTTTCCACCGCTTGCACTATTTAACTTTTGAAGTCTTTCTTTCTGTATTATATTTGTGGTCTTAGTTTGGTTAGAGCTTATAATGTATGTATGTGTGCGTCTGTCTGTCTGTTTATCTGTCTGTCTGTTTATCTGTCTGTCTGTCTGAGTATAGATGCAGAAAATGTAGTTATACGTTGGTTTTCAAATTCACAAGCTCCTCAAACTGTGAAGCTTTCTTATTTTCTGCCTTACATTGTGCTTGATAAATTGGTTCCATAGTGTATGTCTGTGTTTTCAGTACTACAATCTTACTTAGCTGCGTTTCCAACTGCTATCTTTTTCAAAAGCATAACTGAAGAGTTCCTTTTTCAGTGACAATCTTAAAATTCAATTTTTTTTCTTTCTGTATGCAAATAATGTTATGTCTAAGCCCCATATTATATAATATTATATCAAAATGTTCTGGTTTGTTCCGAACTCTAAGCCTACTGCTATATGGTTGAATGAATTCACTTTTTTTTTTTTTATTCTTTTTTTTTGCGTGCAAGAGACATGCAGTTACAAGTACATTTGCATTGCGCCAACAGTATATACTCATTGTTATACAAAAATTGTTAAGTTGGGAGGCATAGCATGAAAAAACTGTGCACATTTTTATATAATAACATGAAACATAGTCAAGTAGGTGTCGTTTGTATGAGCATGGTGCTGTCAGTTAGAGTGAGTCAGTGCTTTAAGTCAGTCTCCCCAAGCCATCAGAACCAGGAGTCCCTACGTGTGTATAGCAATAAGTAGTCGAGTATTGTGCTGCGTGTCCGTGAGGGGCCTTGTGTAAGCGTTTGGTGCGAGCAGGTCTCCCTAGTCTGTGTGCATGTGAGAAGATATGTCTGCTGCATGGGGGTATGATAGAAATTGTCAAGAAAAACGCGAAAGAGGACAATATCAGATCCCAGGCTCTCGGTGATCTCGACATGACAAGGGAGACATAGACACTGTAGTAAATAAAGTGTAGTTAGCGTCTCTGGGTGTCTCTGAATCGGCCCAAGACAGCTGCTGTCGGTATATACGGCCTTGCAGCTTCGGCTGGACATGGGGGAGTCCTGATAAGTGGGCCGGTGTGCTGCCACAACATATGTATACTCCATGGGGTTGATACGCAGGTAATGTGCAGTCCTCTCTTGTTCCGTTTTGTGGTCGTAATAGCTTGTGTAAGTGAGGTATGTCCGCCCATTGTCTCCTTGAATGGCAGCTCGTTATGCTCCTTCCTTTGGGTTTTCACTGGCCTGCCAGTCGTGGCGTGTTGCTTTTTGGGCTGTTGCTGGATAGGGGGTGCTGTTTGGTAGGTTGGTGGGGGACACAGTGTTGTGACTTGGGCTCCAGCCCCTCGGCTCCGTCAGAGGGTAAGTAGCTCGATGTCTGGCGCCGGTAGCGGTGTCTGCGGTGCCTCCATTTGCTTTGCGTCTCACCCTCCTTCCCCCATCTGCCTCTGAGTATAACTGTCTTTTAGGGGCCCCACAATGCTTACTCGCTGCTGGGTTCCTGGCCCGTCTGTCCAGCTGGGATCAGCGGTCTGTTCCGGGCTTTGTGGATGGGCTCTTTCACGCGTGGCCTCCGCCATCTTAGATTTAGGCTTCGGCCTTCGTTGCGGCTTGGTATATTGTGGCCTCAAGTGCGGCTGTGGGGTGAGGACCGGGATCACCACCCCGGCCCAGAGGGGGAGGGACCGGGACGGGGTCCGCACAGGTATAGCTTGTCTGTCGGGCTCCGGTAGGCAGGATAGTGGGACGGCGGCCGTCCACTCCATTCACCGCCAGGAAAGGTCCCTCCTGTTGCTGCAGAGATCTCCCCTCTGGGGGACTAGAACTCAGTGAGCAAGCCTCTCCCCGGTTCCTGCTGCCCTTATCCATTGAGGGTCGCAGTTATGGGTTAGTTATGTGATTAAAATCATGGTTTATGGGCATTATAGGGTCGTTGTGTGCAGGAGCTGAGATCCCCTGCGACCGCTCTGCTCGACGGCCCGGCCCCACCCCCAATTGAATTCACTTTTTATCTATTTATTTTGGAATATAAGTTCATAATATTGGACACATCAGTGAAGTCATATTCGATGTTTGACCTGTGTTCCTTTTACATTGCTAGTATCAAAATTAATTGAAAGGGAATAATAAATGTTTAGAAAGTCTTTTTGTTACAATTAGCAAAACTACGGACCTCCTACATATTTTGGGACCCCCCTGAAACATTATTTGAGGTTATTTGCCAAAGCATGAAATTCTGTAAATTCTAAGTGAATTTCAAATGAACTTTGAATTTCACTCAAAAGTCAGCTGTGCTTTCCATTCAGCTAATCTCAATTTCAAAGTTCAGTTTTAATTTATTTCAATTCACACTCTAGTGAATAAGTTGTTATTGCAATCCTATCTGCAGTATAGATCAGCGCTAGTTGCCTACTGAGAAAGCACAGGTTCCTTTGCTGTCTTTATAAATCTTTATCAAGCAGAGTAGCAAAATATTACATTTTCTGTATGTGCCCATTTAATTGCAGAGAACCTATGAGTTAGTCAACACAGATCTATTTGTTTAAATGGAAAATGCAGGGCGGGATTATTCTTGTGCTAGGTTTGGTGGTTTGTGTCATCTGTAATAACTGCATGAAATGATTAATAAAAAGTCTGATAATTGTAATTGTTGTTCTATTTGTTTTGATGTCCTCGCAAAAACATGGTCAGTTGCTAAAGTGCTAATGCCCTTCTGCTTTTTAGAATTTTGCTTTACATTGCTCTGCTTTGTAGGTATATAGGAAATCCCAGTCACCATCAAATACCCCATTCTACTTTATAGGACAAGATACTTTTATTTATAATTATTAAGTGGTTGCATAGTCAAACCACAGGCTTTAGATTTTATAATTTAAAGGGACATTCCAGACCCCTCTAGCATTTTAATTTGCTGAAGTGCCTTATGTGTGTATTCTCATATTTCATATTATAAGCAAAATGCAGATTTCAATAGAATTCTCCCCCATCCCCATGGCGTTCAATCAGGCAATATGTCATGTTACTTCCTGGTTTATTTAGCTCAGTGGAGCCAAACTCAAAAGCCAGCAATTGCCCAGAGCACCTGCCTTGCAAAGACTTCTTATTGAGTTGATTTGGGAAGTCTGTGATTGGACAGCCACAGAAAGTCTGGGTGGGGTTAGAAGGGGATGGCTTAACAAGACTACAGACAAGAGATCTGCAGGTTTTGTAAGATGCTTTTAGATATAACCGACTAACCCAAACTCTATAATTAAACGTGTACAAGTATCCTTTGGGAGTATATTTACTAAACAGTAATTTTCCTTTTTATTTAATCTATCTAGATACTCCTGTGCAATCCAACAAAGATTCATCATATCTTATTCACCCTTATTATATGTTGGCACACAGTGCAGGGATGGAATATTAATATTGTTGCTTTATATTTCCTGGCATGAAGGCACACCTGCAGCACTGGAATACAATTCCTGTGATCAGAGGATAGATGTACTGAGAAGTAATTTCCAAGCACTTATTGCTCATCATAAAAAGTATCTCTATTTAGTACCCTATGATTATCTTCAAATGCACCTGCCATTGGAAGAGATTGTAAATTATGTAAAATTGTTGCACTGATTACAAAACGTAATTAATGTAAATGCCAGCAATAATATCTTCATTGGAAAATATCATCATGTTCCTCATTTCTATGGGTTACATATTAGACTAGATAGAGCATTGCTGTTTGTTTTATTTATTTTTTACTAATGTTTATTTAATTGTATTGTTTAGGCCATATTATTGATATATCAATATTGAACTACAGCCAGAAGTTAATCTCCCCTTTCTCAATAGATCTCTCTAAACATTTTGCCCAGTTGTACCCCACTTCCACTGGAAGTCCCAGTTTGAGCAGAACCTTATCAGAGTTAGAGTTTTCTGTCATTTCTACCCATTGTACAGTAGGAGTATGTTGGTGCTCCATTATTTAATACATTTATGCATGGCAGGGAAATTGTTTGACCAGATACATTTTCTATTTTTTTTTTAAATTTAGTAAACCAAATTTTGTTGATGTGGCGTTTTGGCTCGTATGATAATCCTCCATGCAAATACATTAGGAAAACTTATTTGGATGAATTAAAAGGATGCAAAAAATTAACCTATCACTATGCAATAGAAATATAACAAAATGTAGTATGATGATATACAGAGAGTAAAATAAACAGTAAACTAATAAATCCTGCTTGGGATGTTCCTTCTGTGCCAAGACTTTTTTACGGTATAAGACGTGCCACTTTTGTTTGTCAGGCACCTTGGAAATATTCAATCTTAATACATGAACAGTCCCTCAACTGCTTTTTTTTTACCATTTTAACCCCTTAAGGACCAAACTTCTGGAATAAAAGGGAATCATTACATGTCACACATGTCACGTATCCTTAAGGGGTTAAGCAAAATAATCAGTGTCCGATATAGAACTAGTGAAGTACCCCTGTGTGGATCAGAGTCCTAAAACATTCCAAAATGCAACTGGTTTGGTTTGGTTAACTGCACAGGGCCATCCACTCTTTACCATGATACACTTTTTATATGTTGCTTTTCATACGATCTTTATTGGCTGAATCTAAACTGCACACGTTTCAAAACACCACTGTATCCGAACAACATTGGAATCCTCACTCATGTTCTGGTTTATAAAAGTATAAACATGGGGCAAGTGCGGGTTAATGATCTGACCCTGGCTGAATTAGTAGTACAATCCTTGTATGTAGAAATGTTTGTAAGAAGACTGTTTTATGAAGAAATGACATATTTTCTTGCTAAATATTCAGTTTTAATATTCAATTATGACACAACTAGATAGATTGTATTTCATTCTGAAAAACATTTAATACAGGGTATACCAGTTTTTTACAGAACAAATAATTTGTTCTCTACTGTAATTTTTTACATAATGTTAATCCAGCTGTTGAATAAAATATCATATTGCTATTCACTAACAGCATTTCAAGTTTACTGCAATCAAGATGATTTGGTATGCCTAGAAGAAAGAGTGTAATCACTGCCTCAGCCATACCTCCAAAAGGTGTGAGGCTATAATTCATCACTTAAATGTGAATAACCTGGAAGGTGTTACTGGTAACAGCATCCCAGATGCATGTAGATATGCTCCGGCTCAATGTATGATACCAAACTAGATTCAGGTCCATTCAGAAGGCCAACCTGGGGAAGGCAGAGATGATCTTCAGACTCTGTGAGCTGTGGATATAGTTCACCAGCAAATTCATTATTATATCCTTGAATGTTCTGGTTTGATAAAAAAAAGCACAATTGTTTGATAATTCCCAATTCCCATACCATCTCCCATACCATCTCTGCAGCAAGCCTCTTTAATTGAACGCTACAGCTTTAAGGTACAGATTAAAATTCAGAAGATGGTGCACCTGATTTCTTTCACCTTTCACTCTCTTATAAAAATGTTTTCATTGTAATCTACAGTGTACTACTGTAGTATCTTTTACTTGCAGTTACATGTATTAATGAATAATCTGGCTGTTAGGATTTGATTGGAAAATATTTAAATTGTATATCGCAACTGTTTCTTGTCCCCTCCCACTCCTCCCCCCATGCTTGCAACTCCTAGCTTGATATAACTGTTTATCTCTACTCCTCCCCAGGCCCAATTGCCATACCATCTCTGCAGCAAGCCTCTTCAATTCTACTTGGCTCAACCCACCCACTCACCCCTCCTCCCGCCCACCCAGGTTCCCACTAAATTTACAGCATGCTCCTCCAACTTTTTAAACTTTTCACTCAATTACCTCTTCATTGCCTCTATATTCTACCAATAGCTGCAACTCTCTCTTTACTTATTTCGCCATCACTTCCAAATTTCCCCTTTTACCTCATGTCTCAAATCCCCATGGAATCCTTTAGATTGTAAGCTTACGGGCTATTTAGATATGCACTTTGTATAAAAGAGCTTAAATGGCTAGATCTCAGCTTACGGGCAGGGCCCTCTCTACCTTTTGCATGTGTCTGTGTATATTGTACGTTCTCCACTAATTGTACAGCGCTGAGGAATCGGTTGGTGCTTTATTAATAGCAGTAATAAATAATAATAAAACAATCTCTAGAGAATCTAAAAAAAACAAGAAAAAAAATACCTCTATAAACAGAGAATTACACATGTTTATTGTTTCTTACTGTAAAGAACACTTTCCCCCTGCTTTAGGCAAAGTCTCAAAGAAGGAACTCACGTCCTACAAACAGTCCTGTCAATGAATAGATTACCAAAGAGCTGTTTGTACTGGTCTTAAATATTTTTAAATAATTGTCTCATAACCTTTTTGAGATTACTTTTTTCCAAAGCAAAGGTTGTCAACCTTTGTCTTTGTCTCCTTTTGCAATTATAATGCCTGAAAATCATCAGTGAAGCAACATTTCCTAGAACAGGTTCTAAAGTGAACAAGTACACATTCTCAAGTTTATTCAGTGATATTAAAGGAGCACTATAGTGTCAGGAACACAAACATGTATTCCTGACCCTATAGTGTTAAAACCACTATCTAGCCGCCTTGGCCCCCTTTGCCTCCCTAAAGATAGTAAAATCGTACTTATATTCAAGTCTGAAGCTTCTGCCTGTGCATGTGAACTTCCTCTGACATCATCAGAAGTGGTAGCGTGATCCAATCACAATGCTACCCCATAGGATTGGCTGAGACTGAC